TCCAGCCCAAGCTTTATCTCCGTTATTTCCACCTCCGTCTTCTCGTTCTGGCTTAAATGCTGGTCTGGCTGGTACCTGGATGACAGACATGCCTGCAACCTGCACACCGCCTCTCCCCGCCCAACATCACACGGCCCCTCCCCCAGCCGAGGGGAGCAGGACCCTGAAGAGGCCGCATGAAGGCAATAGAGGAGCCGCCCCCCCATCAGGACCCTCGGTTCAAGCCCTGGCCTGGGGGCCTCAGCTGGGAGGGCATCCTCCAGTGCATCTAAGGCCCCAGGTTCCATGTGTGGTCAGGGCACGGGCCCAGCTGTAGGTTTGTCCGCAGTCGGTGCGTATATGTGAGGCAACCGCGATGCCTCCCTTTCTCTGTCTCTCTCTTCCCTCACGAGCCCAAGCCACGGTGGCTCATGGTTGAGCGTTGATGACCTAAGAACCAGAAGGTCCCGGTTTGATTCCCAGTCAGGGCACATGCCCGGGTTGTGGGCTTGGTCCCCAGTGAGGGGCTGTGCAGGAGGCAACGGGAAAAGGCCGCCAGGGAGTACGCCAGCAGGGTCCCGATGGACATGAGGTCCACGAGGTGGTTGAGCTCGAAGAGGAAGGCCATGAGCGCTGCAAGGAGGGCGCAGACACCGTGGGGAGCGGGCGAGGACCCACTGGGGACATCCCAGTGGAGGGAATGGGATGGCAATGGGGGTGGGTTTGGCTTATTCACCTGCAAGAGTGCCAGATACTACGGTGGCTGCGATGGGGGTGTGTGTTCGGGGGTGGACCCGGGCCAGTGCCCGGAACAGGAGTCCGTCCTCTGCCATGGCCAAGATCACCCGCGGCACGGGGAACATGGCACCCAGGAGGCTGGCAGAGGGAAGCGAAACGTGTGTGTGGTGATCGCCAGCGGGCAGGCTGGGCTTCCCAGGCCTGGCCCACACTTCGCTGTTGTTCATCCTCACCTGGGATATTTTTCCATTGATTTTTAGAGAGAGTGGAAGGGAGGGGGAGAGACAGAGAGAGATCCATTGATCTCATCCTCCAATGGATGATCAATGGATGGACGATCCATCCATTGATCGCCTCCCGCCCCTGTCCCGAACAAGACTGGGGATCAAACCTGTAACCAAGGTACATGCCCTTGACCAGAATTGAACCCGGGAGCCTTCAGTCCACAGGCCGAAGTCCTAGCCACTGAGCCAAGCTGGCTAGGGCGTCTACACGGCTCAAGGTGTGTCTCCCCTCGTCTCTCCACCCAAGCCTGGGGCAGCTGAGGACGGGAGCTGACGGGGAGGCAGCTGATGGTACTGACCTGGACGAAAGGGCGCACAGGGTCCCCACAGCCACCACGTATCTGGCCCAGGGCCAGCCCGCGTGGAGGAAGGCCTCTGGCAGGGGGCTGTGGGAGTCGATCTGGTAGTAGGGCACCATGAGGGTGAGCGCCGCCGAGACCCCACAGTACGCCAGGAAGCAGATGAAGAGCGAGATCACGGTGCCCAGGGGGACGGCCCGCTGAGGGTGGCGGGCCTCTTCCCCTGCACGGTGGGAGGGGTGTGGGGTCAGGGACACACCCCGAGGGAAGGCACAAGACCCTCTTCCTTCTGAAACTCCCCGGAGCCGGGCCAACCGTCCACCAACCCTGTGCCCAAGGGCGGCCCACACCCCCCATGGGGCAGCCTGACCGTTACCTGCAGTGGCAATGCAGTCAAAACCAACAAACGCATAGAAGCACGTGGCTGCTCCGCGGAGAACCCCCTCCAAGCCGAAAGGCACAAACCCCCCGGAGCCCAGAGGGCCCAGGCTGTGGTGAGAGAAGGGATGAGGAAGAAGAGGGGTGAGCAGGTCAGCTATCTCTACGGGACCACATCCCTGATCCATTCCCCCACCACCAGCCCCACCGCCCAGATCTGCTTCCCACCGCATTCCCAGCTCTGCACTCCACACACGTCTGTGGCCAAGAGTCCCCTCCCACCCGGCCGGCGTGGCTCAGTGGTTGGGCATCGACCTATGAACCAGGAGGTCAAGGTTCAGTTCCCGGTCAGGGCACAGGCCCGGGTTGTGAGCTCGATCCCCAGTGTGGGGTGTGCAGGTGGCAGCCGATTATTGATTCTCTCTCATCATTGATGTTTCTCTCTCCCTCTCCCTTCCTTTCTACAATCATCAATAAAAAATATATTTAAGAACAAACATTGCCCTCCTGACCTCAAGGTGCCATTGGACTCAGATTTGGTCAACTCGTAGTCCCGCTCCGTGAGCTGCCAGCGGTGCAGACGTCCATTAACGAAGCCAGAGAGGACGATAAAGCCGAGAGCGAAGAGGTTCACGCCGGTGAGTATCTTGGTAACCAGGGCCGACTCGCGAGCTCCCAGGACCAGGACAC